GGGGATGGAAGGAAATTTAACTTTGGGTGGTAAACATACAATGTAATACACATATAATGTATTATTGAATTGTACACTTGAATTGTACACCTATGTGATTTTATTAACCAATGCCATACCAATAATTTTAATTTAAAAAATCACATATAAGACACAAGCAAAAGCAAGAGTCTATTTTTAAGAATTTTGGATACAATAAAATTACCATCCCAATAATTTTAATTTGAAAAAAATCACATATAAGACACAAGCAAAAGCAAAAGTCTATTTTTAAGAATTTTGGATACAATAAAATTATTATTTTATTGTTGTAAGGGATAGGCCTTAGAAAATTTTATTCCAACCAGGGATCTATACGTAATTTTTAATTAAATGTTTTCCTCCCCTTGGTGATGTAGAAACCATCATTTCTCCTCCTGGGGAAGAAGAAGTTAAGTGCTTTACTAGGGCAAACGTAGCTTGTAATCAGTGGTTCTTCGGATTCTTAGAATTTGGTACTGAGGTTTGGGCCACCCCTCATGAAAATGGTGAAGAACTTGGGATTGGCTTTTCCACATAACCTACTTTTCCCTTTTACCAAATACCCAGACTCCTCATAGGACTAGCTGTTCTTTTGCCAAGTGACTTCTCCCAGTACCAGTGAAGTGGGGGAAGCTGGAAGGAGGGAAGGGGCACGAGCCATGTTGTTGCACATTTGGCTATCAAACTGGATAGATCACCATTTCCCAAAATACGTTTCTTTTATATCTTATGTTTGATGTGTATATAGCAAGTACATGTTAGCAATATAACAGACTCTGAAAAGATCTGCAACTAAAACAATTTTAAAACTTGGTTTTGCCTAGTATATTTCAAATTTGACCACAGAATACCTTTATTTTTCTTATAACACCTACAATAGTGACCCAGGGTATTAGTATTCCTTGGCATGTACTTAGAAAAATGCTTGTGTCAATGATTTATATCACTGGTTCTTGATGGGGAGAAAACATTTTGACCCCTACGGAACACATGGAAAATATCTGGAGACATTTTTTTGGTTGTCACAGTGGTGGGGATACTGGCACGCAGTGGGTTGAGGCTACGGATTATGCCAAACATCTTACAATGGACAAGGACAAACCCACAGCAACCCATGATAAAAAATGACCTAGCCCCAAATGTCAATAGTGCCTCAGTTGAGAAACCTGAGCCTAGATAGAGCTTATTCAAATGGGACTTTGATGATCTGGCATCTATCTGTTGGCTAGCAGTTGGCACTCTGCATTCACCAGAACTTGTCATTTAATTTTGGCCATGCAGATCTACTTTATTTATTTACAAGCTATTAATAATACTGTCTCCAATCTGAGCTATGAAAATCTGAAATGAACCCTTTGACATTATTTGATTGAGCTACTGGCAAATTGTTAGGTATTTCTGTTATATTAGTCATTTCTACTCATGTTCTTGAAGATATCTATGATATATGTATCATACAGGTTAATCATTATATAGTATTTAAATATCATAGAAAAAAATGAGGTTATACATGTCTGACATGGTACATAAATGTAACAAGACTTTAGACATTATGTTTTATATAATCTCAGTGCTCAGTAACCTTGAACTACTAGGTATATTGATATCTTCATTTTAGAGACAAGGAAACACAGTCTCAAATGTCATTATTTTATTGTTTAAGGGATAGGCCTTCAAGTCTCCAAAACTCCAGTCCAGTCCTCTCTCCATTCTTATAGTATCATGCTGTTCCTATTTTGTATAATTTCACATGTGACATGAAAGTGTTATTAATGCCATAAATATTCATGAATTTGATTTGTATTTTCCAATGGTTTGTATTTGTTCTAACCTCTTAATTTGAGGCTGCAAATAGATAAGGATTTCTATCAAATGTAGGAGAAAAACATTCTCAGCAATTGTTTTCTTACTATCTTTGTCATCCAGCCAAATTGGAAATAGTAACAGATGCTATAAAAATTATTAAGTACAAATGAGCTTTTTCTCCCAATTTTAACTTTCCACATTAAAACAAATAAACATGCAAAAATTTATGATCGCATTTCAGTGTCAACCAGTAAACAAGTTGCCATGGGTGTATTTCTTTTTCATCATTAAGCAGAGAGATGCAGAACAAATTAAACGCACCCAGGTTTGTACTCAAGTCTTAGATTAAGTTCTATATTCTGACCCCACCCTCTTATTCAGATGAATTCACAGAAGTTTTCTGTTGGTGTCAAAAAAGAGTATTGAGTTAAATGACTGTTCATTGCTTGATGGCTATATTTGGGCTTAACAAATTCCTTAGCAATTGAAAATCCAGAGATAGATTATAGGTCTATTTCAGTAGAATACTAAACAGGACCCCAAAATAACTAGTTATCTTGAGAATATGATTATCACAATATATTTGTGTCACAGCAGATGGTTATGCTATAAGAAATGACTAAAACCTATGAAGACAAGTAGCTCCCCCTCTATGAAAATAAGGACTTCCACTCCTTGTAATCAGTCTTCTACCATTTGTCCAATTCTTTCACCATTTAGCAAGTATCAATAACAGTATGGCATGTGTCTCCTCGGTTTTTGATCAATCTGCAAACACTGTGGTCATAAATTAATGCTGACCAAAGTTATTGGTGAAAGATCTAAATTTCAGAATTTGTCTTTTAAGTTATATGTTAGCTCAAGAATAAATGGAAGGCCATCAGTTGGTATCAAGAAAAATGACAAGTAGCCCATTCCATGAAAATTGCAACCAGTTACAAATCAAAAGTATAATAAAGTCAGAGAAAAAGTCTTATATTGAGTTATGGGAACATCTGTTTAACCAGACAATTTAGTTGTGCTTGTGTACACGACATGCTATCCCCATAATCCTCTGTGCATCATAGATTTTACCTAACTCAAGAAAGCATTTTAGAAATTTAATTATAACCAGAAAGAATTTCCCACACTACTCACTGTCACTCACATATTTTTCACCAGAAATAATTTGGCTACACAGTTGCTGTTATGACATTGTAATAACCACCATAAAGCCTGTCACTTAAGTCAGTCAAGATCTGTTTGCAAAATATAATCAAGTATAATTTCATGATTCAATAAATAGTATATAAATCTGCTATTATTAGTTTTCATTTTCTTTTCAATGCTACCCATTTCCATTTTCTCACTGGTAGTTATTCTGACTATTCAAATGTCATTATTGCCCTTTATTGTTATTCAAATGTAGTTTTATTAAATCCTTGACACCACATATAAGGCTATGATTCTTCACCAGCAATAATTCCACTTCTGAAGGATAATGGAAGTGACTGCACACAAAATTCTGAGCTCTTACTTTATGTTAATTCTGTTCCTGAAATTGGATTATAATTTAATCGTATTGGAGAAGACCAAAAGGTTTTTATTAGCAGGAAAATATTCCTCCCATTCAGGTATTTGGTTCAAAGACCTGTGAAACCATTACTCCTTCCCATTGATGTGTATAAGACACACTTACTGACCAAATTAAACTCTAAATTTCTTTCGTCAGATGGTATTCATAATTTTTGTGTATTTTTCTCTTAGAAGATAATAAAATCATTAAGAAGTTGAAAGAAAATGTTACAATTCAGTTAAATAAACTTTTAAATATTCTGTGGTAAATTTATGGAAAATATAATTTAAAAGACACATAACCATAAATATATTGTTGTTGGCTTTAATAAAATACACTGGTTCACAAAAGAAAACTATTTCAGCACCAGGTTATAGCTTTCAAAAACAAATCTACCAAAGATTGCATCAAGTTATATAAAATTAACTGGTGTCTATTAGTGACAAGCAGATTTAAAAATTGTATACTTCTGTTGTAGCTTACCAGCAACTCTTCTATGTGTAGAAACAGAATATTGTCTATTACTATAACCACAGATATGTTTTCTAGCACGAAAACTAATATAAGAGCAGGAGAAATGAAAATATTAGGCATTTCACTCAAGAACTAGAATTCCTAAAGAAGACAAATTTCAAGGTTATTAGGATCTGTTACAGGGTGTATAAAGAAGAGGCAGCATAGCCTGGTACAGAGTCCAATGGTGATGAATTTGGATGAGGATGGGCAAGAAAGCCACAATGTTAGAAAATATTTACCTGCCATCTCTGTGAACAGAGGAAGTGCTCTGCTCCATGCTGTGAGGAGTTAAGAAATAAAGGATGTTAGGGGCTTATTGCCCATTGGGAGACAAAGCTAATTATAGGAAACAATTCCAGTGCAATGTAAGCCATCATATAATTAACCAATAGCATATTTATCCCAGATAACAAGAAGTACAGCGATTTAACAAAAGGAATTCAGATCCCATAGCAGCACCTGTGAAAAGCATGACCACATGGACCTTACAGATCTAGATAATAACACCCCAACCATCTTTGCCACTCTCAACTCCCAAGAGGTCCCCAGGGAATGAATAACTTGAAAATATAACTTGTATGCTGCTAACCTCTTTTTTCAAATTACCTGTACAAATATTCTCATATATATTTCCTTACTGAGAATCAAAACCCACCATGTAGAACAAAATATTGGAGACCTATACAACAGCATTCCTAAAATATTCCTCTTTAATATGAAGAGCAGAATTTTAAGCAGAAGTGCCCTACCTTTTAATTACAGAAATAATTAAATAATCTTTAAGCAGGCAAGGGTCAGAGAATTTGGGTTCTACAATATAAGGTTGCCATATGACCCTGAACAAATTAACTTGTTCACCTTGATAAGTGTCATGATTTCTACCATCCTTCCAGCTCTGAGCAGACTCAAGGACAACTTTTGGCACTGTTCCTTGACTTTAATAAAAATGAAAGAGTTCTCTACGTAGCTTCTAGTGATTTTTGCCTTCAATGAATCTTTTGGCACCAAGTGAAACAAAAGACCGTCTTCCAATGCCCTGCTTCCATGATCAAGATCAAAGCTACAGAGGCTGCTATAAGTTGAGGACATGGATTTAACTCACCTCCAGAGGCTTCTATGTTGCTCCTCAAGTTGAGTTAGCAGATGTTCAATGTATTTATTGGAGTCCATGTATTCCTGCACATACAGACAGACAAAGACAAATCTTCGTTAAAATGGTCACCAGTATTCTAAGACTAGCTCTATCTCTACAAGGAAGATTTTGACAAGATAATCCCTTGGTTCCTAGAAGTTGATGTTTCTATGATTTATATGCATAGTTTTGGGGAGAAGAAGAATATTTTCTCTATATCCTGTGATCATTCTATAAACAAAGCACTGAAGAGAACTGGAGTTCTACAGAGCATAAAAATCATCTTATTCACAGAAAAAAAAAAAAAAGCTAAATTTCATGGTCATCTACACTTGGGTCTGTATTCTACTACATAAAAGTAAGTGAGTCAATATCGCTGCTGACCTTAGAAGAATAATAAGATAGGCAATACGGTTCTTGATTACACTGGTAATACAAGGACCACTTCCTAGAAAACACCACTATTTTTGAACTTCGTAGAATGCTTTACATGTTCATTGCCCACATTCACTGGGCATATCGTTGACGTTGATGAAACACATGTCTGTTTTTCTTCATCTCCTTTATAGAAACGGACAGTGTAGTTTGTTTTTGTTTTCTTTGACTCTTAGGAAACAAATCTTTGGCATTAAAAAGACATGAAGGCAAGGTGTATCTTGTTTTTTTAGAAATGTCTATAAATTTGTGAATCAAACTATATTTTCAAGAAACATTTCTGAAGAATGAGGTCTTTTGTCATATAAGAATGATTAGGAAAAATTCATAGATTGTTAAATCTGATTTTTTAATTTGCAATTTCTGAATATGAGGTTCATATGCAATAGTTTCAATTGCTAACTGTGGAACAAAATACGATGTACAATTTGTTTTTTCATCCTGATCCTGATACATCTTTCCTTTCTATTTGAAGATCTAGCCTACAAGCCTCTGTGTCTACATTACAGCTGCCTTGGATAGAATAGTGTACAATGATTTCAAAAGGCACCCATGAAAATTACTGTTCCATTTCTTATGAATTTGAGATAAGCTGGGAATTTTTCTTTCTGAAATACATATTTATTTTAATTAAATGCTATATATAACCTATCCTTCCTATAGGAATATTCACTGTAATGGAGAGTGGGGTGAGTGGAAAAAAACACAGTAAATGTTGACCTAATGTAATGGAAAGGGTCCTGTTCCTTTTTCCTAGACCTGGATCTACCCATGTAGCTTTTGAGAAGCCTTCTTATTTTTCTACAGTATTTCAGTTAGACTAGAGAGTGTTCTAAGTCCTTATTTAGCTAAAAAACTGTTATTATTCTATAATATTATCATTCTATTGCAGATGATTAGCTAAAGAGTTTTACTCTTATTAAATAATATTCATTTTCAGGTTAGTTATTTACATAAGACTACTTGGCATGTCAAAACCAAAGCAGAAATCTGTTACTGCAGTAAATTATAATAGTTTGTGATGGTGTTGAGTATCCTGATCAAGTTTTAAACATGATTTAGAACATTCAAAACTATCAAAGACTTATGCACCTCAATGTTCATATCAGCATTATTCATGATGGCCAGGACATGGAAGCAACCAAAGTGTCCTGTGATATATGACTGGATAAAGAAATATGGATCATATATACAATGGAATATTACTCAGCCATAAGAAAAGCCAACATACTGTCATTTGTGAAACCATGGATGGATCTTGAGATAATCATGCTAAGCAAAATAAGTCAGACAGAAAAAATTGAAAACTACGTATTTCATTCATATATGTGATATAAAACTGAAAGCAATAAACAAATATGACAAGCAAACAGAGACTCATGAACACAGAGTGCAGATTAGTGGTTACCAGAGAAGGGGAGAGCGGGGAGGTAGGTAGGGGGAAAAGGGGCCAAATATTTGGTGACAGAAGGAAATCTGACTTGAGTGGTGAACACACAATGCAATACATATATGACTTAATGCTGAATTGTATACTTGAAACTTATTTGATTTTATTAATTGATGCACCTCAATAATTCTTAATGAAAAAAATTATCAAAGACATTTCAAATACATTTCACTGAAAAAACTTTAAAGACATCGTTCTCGAGAAGAAACAAATATGTAAATTTTGAAGTCATTTATTTCTTTTTCATTTAACTGTTTTCTCAACATCTATTAGAGCAGTCCTCGAAGTGTCAGTTTGGCAGATACAGTAGTAACCAACAGGTCTGAGTTTCCTGCCTTCAAAGGGCTTACAGTCCGGAGAGAAATAACAAATGAGTGAACAGCTTGGATTCAGACCAGTTATATGCTGTAAAGGAAACAGCTAGTGATAGGAGAGACTTAATGGGAGGGACAAAATACACAGTGATCAGAAGAAGGTTGAAGAAATGACATGTGAGCTAGCACCTGGAAGAGAAGGAAGAGACAAGCACATAGAGAAAGTGGGCACAGGGGAGAGAACACCACAGACCAAGGGAACAGTATATGCAAAGGCCACTGAAATGTGGTATTTAATGAACAGAAGAGAAGCCAGTGGGGCTGACAGTAGAAAGCCTGGGGTATATAGTCTAAAATAAAGTTGGAGAGGTAGGCCAAGGCACATATAAGCTCTGAAAACCAACTTGGATTAAAACTAAAGGATTTGTTATTTTGTTCATTGTTTAGTGCAAGTCAGAGCTTGAAGCTGAAAGGCACAGTGATTACAAATATGATCTTTGGATCAAAGAAATTTAGATTCAAATCCTGGTTTGGGTATTTGTTAGCTCTGTTCCCTCAGGCAAGTTATTTAATCTAAGATTTATTTTCTTCATCTTCAGAGGGGTAAATAATACTTAATTTATAGAGGTGTTATAAGGATTAAATAAAATAGCTTAAGTAAGAATATATCATAGTGTCTGCCAAGCAGTGAGCATAACCTTGTTCATAATGTCACACAGTAGAAATTAATAATGATAACAGATTTTCAACTATTAAATGTACATATAGCTGGATTGAGGTTTAAAAGCTATTTCAAATACTAACTGTTTCTATTTAAAGTAGCTTTACTCAACTTCCCATTAAAATAACTTTGATGATGTCTTAAATCACATAACAATGGGAAACTAGAATTATAGATTCTCTATCTTTCTTTTTAGCTTTATTTTTCACCATAGCACTCTTACTTCTAACATCCAGTACATTTTAGTTGGGTAATTATTTGGGTATTATCTATACTCCCATCCACCCCTCCCAAACACACACATAACACACATACATACATTCTCTCTCCCTTACTCCTTCCCTCCATCATCTACCCTCCCCCTGCCTCCAACTAAAATAGATTGAGGGGAAAAAAAGATATAATGCTTATATGTGCTTTTGCTTACATGAAACCATATTTTTTTCCTACCTAGAAGAAGTTTGGCAGCACTCCCATGCATTTATCAGCTGGCCCCTGAATTAGAGAAATCCGTTAACTAATGAGAAATCTCTACCATTCTTTAAGAACAAAATAGGATTATTCTACTAGGAACCACTTTTACACATTCATTTGGAGATTAACTCTAAGAAAACAATGAAGGACGATGGCAGTGGGGCAGGCAGTGGTATCCAGTAGAACTACAGTCACAGCAAGTATAATACTGTAGCTACTGCACCTATAGCAAGAACTTGGATATAAAGTGCATATTGAATGTTATTATACAGGGACTCCAATATTATAAAGTACCAAAGGCATGGGCAAGAAAAAAAGGGTATGGCAAGATTCCACCTCAGTGTAACAGAGCTCCCCAGATTGCCTGAAAGATTGGATATTGGGAGAGCTTAGAGAAAACATTTCTTCAAATGCAAATGGATAGAAAGTGGAATCTAGAGTCTATTGGCGGCCCCAGGATCTGAATGGGTCATTTCAGAACAAGTAAATTGAAGACATACAACAGGGTTCCCATGAACGCAAGAAAAAAAGAACACAGGAGAGGGTGTCATTCTGAAAATAACTTACAAGAAAAACATGAAAGCATTTTAGACAGAGCCTTAACCTGTCTAGTAGTATCCAGAAAGAACTGGTTTTCCTGAAATGTACAGAAAGGTAAAAAAAAAAAAAAAAATACTGAGTAAAAAAGACAGCAGAATTAAATTTTATAAAACAATAGGGTGAGCTGAAAAGAGAATGAAATTAGAAGGGAGTGAGTGAGCTAAGAATTTCAAAGAAATATGAAATGCAATAGCAGAATTGGAAACTGTGAGCCTTACATTGTGATTTTATTATGGGGTGACTCTCTCCACCATGAAATGGTACTTCAGAGGAGAGTGGGCAATGAATTTTGATGTACTGGCACTAAGCTGGTCACACTGATGAAATCTACTTTTCAGTATTATCTAGAAACAAATCAAATTACCAAGGAAACATTTCATAGACAATATAAAACATTGTCTATGAAAACTCAGTTTCTCAAGCCTTGCTTCGCCCGGCATGTACTTCTCATGTCACTCAGCACTGAGACTCTATTGAAGTTCAGTTATTAATTTGATGAACATTCTATTCCACTCATTTTCCTATGACAAAATCCATGTTAGATATAATAAAATTGACAATGAAAGCATATACACATTCTGTGCAGGACAAATTTAATAATCTAAGTAAATTAAGTAAAGGATAAAGATGAAAATAAATAGAGACATGATGGCTATTAGGTAAGAAAATGTAGGTTTGACTAACAATCATAGCTTTTGATCATTCGACAATATTTGGAATATAAATGATAATCGAGGAATTATTAAAGCGACATTTCAGAATAGCAGAGGAAAAAAGACTTGCTTATGCATATCAAAGGGGCCAAGTACATTCCAGGTAGAGTTTATGGAAAATTATTCATATATCCACCGGGATAAGAGCTGAATAAAAATTGTGGGGAAAAAAGCACACTGCAAGAATCCAAACAATGGGGTTTCCTACTAAGCAGCTAAAAGAAGTTGGCTCCATAGCTGCCAGTCACCGCAGATGTCCACTGGATGAGATACATAGACCCTTGAGTCTTAATTCAAAAGTATCCCTAATTAAGTAGCTGCTATATAGCAAAGCAACAGAAAGCCAATCTCAAGTATTCCTGAATTCAGAAAATAAAGCATCTACTTTAATTAAAAACTAAAATATATACATGTATGTGTATGTATTTTAAACTTAAAGGTATACACACATACATATATGCATATATACCAAATACACAATAAATGAATAAAAAAATATGAGATATGTATATGTATATATGTATGTGCATGTATGTATGTATACACATTCTATACCTCAGAGATAAATTTTAAAAATATGAAATACAAAATATGAAAGGAAAATTCAAAAGAATTTAAATAAATTTATTTCTAAATATGTAAACATAATTATAAAATTAAACAAAATTTTAAAACATCAGACAGAAAATGCAGAATGTACATTATGTGTCTTCGGGGTGGACAGCAGGGGCAGGAAGAGAAAGAAAGAAGTAGAAGCAAAAATCGCTTTGCACACAGGTACAAAAATTATTTTTCCATACTTGATAATCAAAAAGCTTAACTACAAGGGTGTGTTTTGTAACAGCTGGGGAAAGTAATTTGGTAATTGATGTCATAAAATTTAAAATATCAATGATGTACATTTGATCTAGAAATTCTACGTCTAGGAATCATCCTAAGTAAATAAACTATTTATGACAACATAAATAAATTGGGTATTCTTAGCTTCCAAATATGGGATTGATGAAAAGAAAACATGCTTTACCCATGTGAAGAAATATACAATTCCTTAAATTTGTAAAGAATATATAACAAAGTGGAAACCAGCATAATGTTCCATGAAAGGAGGATGTAAAACTGCATAGCCCTTTGTATCACAAATTTGAAAACTATATAAAGACTAAAAGAA